ACTAAAGGAACTGTTGGAATTCAAGGACTACCTGTACTTCAGATTTCTGGCGCAAAACAACCCATAGCAAATGATGGGCTGGCTTAACCACCACCACAAAAACAGTCATAAACTTTGGTCTATTCAGTTATAGTGGTAATGGAAAGATGGTCTGAAATGGCAGCCTTCTGTCTGTGTCTTCTCCACCAGCTCTCCGGTGACTCCGCCTCCTTTTCAAGCTATGAGCTCCAGTTATTCATCCTACACCACGTATCACATGTTGCAACTCTGGTTCCATCAGCTCTACACCAGGCAATACTACATGCAATAGTAAGTTTCGTCTTCCATCTTTTTATGTCTGAAGTCACGTGCTAAGCTATTCGTGGCACACAAAATTCATGGCACATTTTTCAAAATCTTCCAGTTGTACGAAAGTTGTCAATATAGGTGAGCAATGTCAGTTTTTTTGAGAATACGTGCACTGGCTTTACAATAATCCACCAAAGTTGAGTAAAAAAAGATGGCAGCTGGATAGAGACAACACACAGAAAAGTAATTTTTAAAAAATCCAGACTTCATAAATTGGCCCGTGTGGCAAAAAAACTCTTCTTGTGGGCATTTGGACCCAGCAAATCTTTTAGCCACAATTGCAGTAATGCAGAATTTTGCAATTTTCAGTAGGCCAGTGTTTCTCTACCATGTCAATTTTTAAACAAAGTTTTTTTTAGTTTATAACAGAGGTCTCCCAACTTGGCAACTTTCAAACTTCTGGACTTCCATCTCCTAAAATTTCTCAGCCAGCATAGCTAGCTGAGGAATTCTGGGAGTTGAAGTCCACAAGTCTTAAAGTTGCCAAATTTGGGGACCCCCAAATAATACAAATACAAAATTAAATAGGGAAATAGGGAAGGGAAAGAAAAGGTGAAAAAAAAAGCCATTGACTTCTGATGCAGTAGAATAAGGCATTAACCTCAACTTCATACTTTTACATAATAGTATAAACTAGCCATTTCTATAACAAAAAATCTTGTCTAATTGGTAAAACCCAATTTTACCATGTCAATTTTAAGACCTCCCAGAATTCCCCAGCCAGCATCTCTCCCCCCCACCATGTTATAATTTAGAACAGGGGTCTCCAACCTTGGCAACTTTCAGACTTGTGGACTTCAACTCCCAGAATTCCCCAGCCATTTGCTGATTTAGAATACATTTGGATTTCACCAGCTGCTCCACTAATGCTATATCAGTACTTCATAGTCATGCCTTTATTTCAGCATGAAGGGAGTGGTTTTTTATGTCCCTTTTTCCCCCTCTCTCTCTCCAGCATGGCCGCCAACGGTCATTCGGGGGACTTGTCCTCTGCGCGAAGTTCCCAGGAGATCTCGGTGGCTCCGGTGACCCCTCCAGCTCCTCTCCCTGGTCCTTTTCCTGCCGAAAATGCCCCCGTAGAACAAAATGCTCCCCCTCAAGCCAACCCCGGAGTGAACCAAAACCTGCGCATGAATGCCCAGGGAGGACCCCTCATGGAGGGAGACGACGAAGTCAACCGCGATTGGCTAGACTGGCTCTATTCGGCAACCCTCTTCTACGTCTTTGTCAACATTGTTTATTTTTACTCCAGTATGAGCAGGTTCCTTTTGGTGATGGCCGGCACCCTCCTCATGTACCTGTGAGTCTGCTTGGAAAGCCGGGGGTGGGGGGGTGTTTCTGCACACAGCTTGAATTACGTACAGGTCGTTAAGGGTGGCTCAGTGGCTAAGACGCTGAGCTTGTCGATCAGAAAGGTCGGCAGTTGGGCGGTTCGAATCCCTAGCGCCGTGTGACGGAGTGAGTTCCTGTTACTCGTCCCAGCTTCTGCCAACCTAGCAGTTCGAAAGCATGTAAAAGAAATGCAAGTAGAAAAATAGGTACCCCTTTGGTGGGAAGGGAACAGCATTCTGTGCGCCTTCGACAGCAGGATGCTACAAATGGCCGTCCATGCAGCCATGTTGCCAAGCGCTTGAAATACAGTCATGTGACCACAGGGGAGGGTGGGAGGGAGGTGACTGTTAGATCTTTGACCCCAGATCATAAGCCCCCCTTTTCAACTTGAAACAGTCATAAACTGAGGGCTACTTGTAATTTTATCACTGTCACAGACCAGCATTATAAATAAGCATTAAAAAAATAAAAACAAGATCATATTTTAACAATTGGTGGTGGATTATCAATGGGCATCAGGCCTGCCTAATTTTGCAAATAGTATAACAAAATTCAGCTGCATTGAAAGATCAAAAATTACATCAGACTGAGCCAATAAATAAAAAAGACCAGCATTTCTCAGTTATTTTATCAGGTGTTATGAGGTGGGTCCATGAAGATGCAGTATTAGTTAGGATGTGAGTTATAGGTCCTTTGTCTGAAAGGGCAGTGCAAGCTTATATGGATTTTTTTTTATATCAGCCCTCCAAGACTGTTGTGGAAAGTGCATTGCAGCATGCTAAAGTTAATATCCTTTGGAGTTTGGAGACAGTTATTGCCTTTTAGGGGAATGCGGTGGCTTAGTGGCTAAGACGCTGAGCTTGTCGATTAGAAAGGTCGGCAGTTCGGCGGTTCGAATCCCTAGCACCATGTAATGGAGTGAACTCCCGTTACTTGTCTTAGCTTCTGCCAACCGAGCAGTTCGAAAGCATGAAAAAAAAATTCAGATAGAAAAATAGGGACCCCTTTGGTGGGAAGGAAACAGCGTTCTGTGAGCCTTCAAAGGCGTTTAGTCATGCCGGCCACAAGACCACGGAGACGTCTTCGGACAGCACTGGCTTTTCGGCTTTGTAACGGAAATGAGTACCGCCCCCTAGAGCCGGAAACGATGAGCACGCATGTGCAAGGGGAACCTTTGCCATTAGCCCTTGTCTTAGAGTCATTTGTTTAGTGACGGTTCATAGTTACAGTGGCACTGAAAACTGACTTACGGCCGTTTTTCACCATTGCAGTATTCCCCCTGGTCACGTGATCACAATTTGGATGCTTGGCAATTGGCATGTACACAGTCAGTCCTGGATTTACAACAGGTCATTGTTTCACCATTCAAAGATGCAACGGCATTTTTCACACAACCGTGGCAGCACCCCCATAGCCATGTGATCAAAGTACGGACACTTGGCAACTGACTCATAGTTATGACGGTTGCAGCGACCTCCTGGCAAACAAACTCAGTTGGGGAAGCCAGATTCACTTAACAATTTAAGTTAGGTAATTAACTGCAGTGATTCACTTGACAAATATGGCAAGAAAGGATGTAAAATGGGGCAAAATTCATTTCAGCGATGTTCCACTTAGCAAAAGGAATTTTGGGCTCGGTTCTGGACTACCCATATGACAATTGCAGTGTCCCAGGGTCATGTGATCTTTTGCGACCCACTGATGAGTGAATCTGCCTTCCATGTGGATTTTGCTAAACAGCTGTATTAATAGCTACACAGCTGCCGTGATTCACTTAACAACTGTGGCAGGAATGGTTATAAAATGGGGCAAAATTCAGTAACTGTCTCACTTGGCTCAAGACAATTTTGGGCTGGATTGTCATAAGTCAAGGACTACCTGGCTTTGGAAGGAAATTTACCAGCAAATAGAGATATTTGACTAGGCTGGAAGTCAGAAAGCATGCTGAAGAAGGCAGAGCACTTCTGTGTCCCTGCTGAGAGAATAGGCGAAGGTTCCCCTCGCACACACATGTGCCAGTCGTTCCTGGCTCTAGGGGACAGTGCTAATCTCCGTTACAAAGCTGAAGAGCCAGCGCTGTCCAAAGACGTCTCCGTGGTCATGTGGCTGGCAGGACTAAACGCTTTCGAAGGCGCATGGAACGATGTTCCCTTCCCACCAAAGGGGTCCCTATTTTTCTACTTGCATTTTTACATGCTTTCGAACTGCTAGGTTGGCAGAAGCTGGAACAAGTAACGGGAGCTCACTCCATTACGTGGCGCTAGGGATTCGAACCGCCAAACTGCCGACCTCTCTGATCAACAAGCTCAGCGTCCTAGCCACGGAGCCACCACGTCCCTTGCTGAGAGAATAGATAGGTGCCCAACTAAAAAAACAGAAGCTGATTGTCACTCAAGAGGGTTTGCTTCTCTTACCAGTGTCTTCTCTTCGTAGGCACCAAGTTGGCTGGTTCCCTTTCAGGCGAAGGCCAGCCCAGCCACCACCACCACCACCGGACAACGTTCCTGTCCAGGCTGCCATTAATCAAGATCAGAATAACAATTTGCAAGTAAGTTTCGTGCCAGAGAGCATCCTGAAGCTTTGGCTTTCAGAATGGACCCAGGGTGAAATGCGCTGGTTCAGTGGGGCCTTGCTTCCATGCTAAGTGTGCTTCAGAGTTCAAAGGGTTCACTCCCTTTGGACCACATTACCTGAAATGCCTCTTCCGGGGCATTTCAGGTAATCCTCCACTTACAACCATTCATTTAATCATCATTCCATTGGTGCAAAATACAGCGGCCCGTATGGTTTTGTGCAGACCTCAGTGTGCACATGTGCGGGAGTAGCCTTGGCTGCCGATTTGCTTCCGGGGTGCAATTCAAGGTCCTGGTTGTCTCCTTTAAAGCCCTTCATGGCCCAGGACCAGGTGATCTGAAGGAGGACATCTCTTGCCAGTCACATCTACCCAACCCACCTGAGCAGGGAGGCAGGGAATGCTAAGGGTCCCATCCCCAAGGGAGAGAGACCTGGTGGGACCCAGAAGAAGGGCCTTCTCCGTGGTGACTCCCTCTCTCTGGAACATCATTTCCCCCAGAGATTAGAATGGCCCGCACTCTGATTCTCTTCCAGAAGGCACTGAAGAAGGCCTGGTTCTGCCAGCGGGCCTGGGGGAACCCAGAGAGGGATGGAGCCCATCAAATGGCCCGTGTGAGATGCTGGCGGGGGATGGGGGTGATTTTATTATACATATTTATTTGATTCTTTTTTATTAGTTTTATTGTTTTAAATGGCAATAGCACTTAGACTTATATACCGCTTATAGTGCTTTACAGCCCTCTCTAAGCAGTTTACAGAGTCAGCCTCTTGTCCCCAACAATCTGGGTCCTCATATTTTATATTGTCATATATATACATATACATACATACATACACACACACACACACACACATATGGATCTTTGGTTATTCGGGTTTTCTCCCGCGTAAGATTGGAAGTATCTAGGCAACGTTTCAATGAAGTCTCATTCTGAGAAGCACAGAGCCGAAGACACAAGCCTGAAGATGATGAATGAGACTTCATCGAAACGTTGCCTAGATACTTCCAATCTTACGCGGGAGAAAGCCCGAATAACCAAAGATCCACATACAAATACCCGCGAGAACCTCAGAAAACAAATTATAATTTTATATATATATATATGCTTTTCACACTTAAAACTGTTCCAGTATCCCCGTGGTCCCGTAATCAAAATGTGGATGTTTGGTAAGTGGTTCATGTTTATGACATTGCTCACGTGATCCCCTTTTACGACCTTCTGACAAGCAAAGTCAATGGGGAGGCCAGATTCACTTAACTATGTTGTTAGCTTAAGAACTGCAGTGATTCCCTTAATAGCGGCAAGAAAGGTTATAAAATAAGGCAAAACTCACTTAGCAACAGAAATTTTAGGCTCAACTGTGGTTTTAAGGATGCAGCTGTATGGAAGTGCAGCAACATGGCTGGAAATAGGTTGGGCTGTTTGCCGGGTGGTTTGGCCTTCAGACAGACCTGCTTTGTCTAACTTAATGCGTTTCAGTTTAGAGAACATTGGGAATTAAGTCACTCAGAGTTGTATTGAACCACGAGATGGGCCACAAATAAATTGGATAAATAAAATTAATCCCCGAACCATCCTTGGAACAGGGAAGCATGGCACAGCCAAAGAGGAACAGAACAAATTGTTCTAGAAAATTCAATTCCTGGATCATGGCAGGTGTCTGTCCTGTGTCAACTGCGACTTGATATCCTTGTGTCTCTTGGACGATAAACCCAAACAAGAGGCAGCTGCCCCAAAATTGGCTAGTGATGGTGCTGTACTCTATTGGAAGTATTTTAGACATTTTATTTAGCAAATAGGTTTATTTGATATATTCATTAGATTTTTATCCCAAAAATGCTTTTTCAGGAGGAGGCAGCTGGACTTTCTGGGTTTTTTTTGAAGATGTTTCGCTTCTCATCCAAGAAGCTTCCTCAGAGCTGAAGAAGCTTCTTGGATGAGAAGCGAAACATCTTCAAAAAAAAACCAGAAAGTCCAGCTGCCTCTTGAAAAAGCCCCTTTGGGATAACCATGACCTGAATCTCCATAGACATTTTTGTCCCACCTTTCTTACTGTATAAGTAACTGGAGGTAGCAAAGGTATCGAACACTCTCTTTTCCTCATAACAACAGCCCTGTGAGGTGGTGTGAGCTGAGAGAAAATGACTGGCCCAGGTTCAGTTGACCTCATGCCTAAAGCAAGAACTAGAACTCCGTTTCCTGGTTATTGGCCCAGGACCTTAACAACTAATCAAAAACTGGTTGGGTAGCATCACCTTTTATTCTAGGTCATAGTGAAAGTTTATTATTTAAACCACACAGTTGTAGGACCGAGTGGCACCGCGTTCTTTCCGTCTTAGGAAGAAAACAGTGCCAGAAAAAATACTGAGGTTGCTCACCCTGGATCCTGCCAATGTAATCATTGCAGTATTTAATAATATAGTATGAGAATAATTTCATTAATACCCAGGATATTTGGGGCTGAAGCATCCTTAAAAGATAAGATCACAAGTAGTCCTTAATTTATAACCATTTAGTGACCATTTGAAGCTATGTCGGCACTGAAAAAAAGTTTTTCACACAAGTTTCCCCGTGGTCACCTGATCAAAATTCGGCTGTTTGGCAACTGATTCATATTTACGGCGGTCCGGAGGTTGTATGATCACTTTTTGCAACTTTCTGACAAGCAAAGTCAATTCACTTACTAAGTTAATACTTGCCATGATTTGCTTAGCAACTGTGGCAGAAAAAGGTCATAAAAGTGGGGCAAAACTTACTCAACGGTCTTGCCAGCAATGGACAGTTTGAACCTCTGCTCTGGTTGTAACGCACAAGCTACGCTCAGGAAATTTACGATGCTGTAAACATAGCAGGGATTTTGCCTAAAGTCAACCAAAAGAAGAAGAAAAAAGGTTCCAACTTCAGCCTAGTTAAGCTATGCCAATAGTTGGAGATCGCTAGGAGGAAGTATCGCCATATAATTACATTTTTGTTTTTTTCCCCTTATCTCAGCAGGAGGAAAACCCAAGAGAACAAAATGAACCGGAGAATTCGGAGGCCGTTGGGGAGAACCAGCCGGCCCCAGCTGTTTCCTTCATGAGCACAGCTTGGCTTTTCTTCAAGACTTTCTTCGCCTCCCTCCTGCCCGAGGGGCCTCCAGCTGTGGCAAACTAACCGGGCCCATAAACTTCCTCTTTCTTCTCCGGACACTAGCTTGAATGTCCCAACGTGGCCAAGGAAGAAGGGTTGGATCAAAGAGAGCGAATGTAGACTTTGGAGCTAAAGACAGACGTGGCTGGACGTGCAATGAGATGCTAGCTCAGAGCTTCAAGGAAGAGAACCGTAGATCACCGAAGCCGCCATGGCTTGAGAGCGGTGCGAAGTTTTGTACCTCATCTGTCTGGGTCCAAGTGCAAGAGAGGCAGATTCCTACTGACAGGACCACTTGATTCCAGCTAGAGTGGATCCCACACTCGCCTGCGCGGAGTGTGCAATCTTGTGCAACCAGCATATTTAGGGGGGGGGGGGAAAAACCGCACAGGGGAAGTTAATGCCAAAAATGAAGAAAAGCTGTGCTTTATAATACCTGACAACACATGTAAAAGAAAAGGTGTAAATAGCTTTTGCACAGAAGGTAACAGTTGAGCCTACTAATACTACCACGCAGCGGAAGTGGGCAACCAAGGCCCCCTTACCACCTGCGGACTTCCATTCCCAGAATTCCTGAGCCATCCATGCTGGGAATTCTGGGAGTCGAAGCCCGCAGATGGTAAAGGAGCCATAATTTCCCACCCATGTTACACGATATAGCAGAAAGTATTTTCTTAGGCTTCAAGCACGAAGGGGTTTCCTATTTTGCCAATTTAGCAAGTCAACATAAGATGTGGACGCGTGTCTTCGGATAGATCAAGTTGCAAATATGACTTCTTTCAAGCAGCTTTCTTTTTTCCAGCAATCTACTTAACCTAGAAGTTCTTTTTGTCATTACATTTCAAACTTAAGACAGAGAATGGGATTTGTGCAAAAGAAGACTTGTGAACTCTTTCCTTCCTCTCCCCTGTTTTCCTTTCCTCTCTTCCTTCCCATCATGCAGATTTTCAGGCTGATTCCCTGCATGTTAGCCATACATATTGTGAATGAATAGTCCTTTTTGGGATACAAATGTAAAAAAAAAACTGGTCTGAATCTGAAGTTGAGTGGTGCATAACTTCATGACACTTGGAAAAGGAGGGATGTTTTGTAGGTAACCTTGGGCTCCTGAATTGGGACAATCCAAATCCCCAGATATGGGTTAGAGTGAGTAAGAGGGTTGCCCAAAATTGCTGCAGCTGCCCATTTTGCAAATAGACACTTGAACCCAGGCTGCGAGATTTCTAGCATCTTTTGACATTGTGTGGGCCTCTCCCAGCCGTGTTGGGAGCTGCAGTATAATTTCAGAATGAGAGCCGAAGTTGATGTGATGATGTGATCTCTTATCACTCGTGATTGATGCAAATTATTTAAGTATGGTTGTGATGGCCTCATCTCACTTCTAGATGCTCAGAGTCTCTATGGAGGGGAAAATATTATTCAACACCCGCATTTAACATTTTAGTACAAGTAAAAGAAAATTCTTTCGGGTTCTGATTAATTGGTCTGCTTGCAATGCTCAGATTAATCCCCCCCCCCCCCCTTTGAACCTCTCTGACTGGAACGCCCTAGAATTGCATGATTCTTTTTCCAGAGTCATTCTTTTCCACTCAGGGATTATTTTGCATATAAAAAACATTTTCCCGTTTCTGCGTTTGGATTTCAGGGTGATGCTGAAATGGTGTGTTTTCGCTATTGTGGATTGTAACCTGGATGCTTTCTGTTTCTATCTACTTAAGTTTCTTAAGGACAGTCACACGATGGCTGAACTTTCTTCTTCTTCTTGTACATTATTAAACAAAGTTTAATATATTACAGCTTAATTTTATTAAACCGAGATTGTTTGCAAGCGTTTGGGAGTTATTACATTGATAAGACTCCAAAGTTTTTAAGGGGGAAGTTGGCATGTCAGGAAGCAGTGACTTTGCGTATTGGCATCTCCTCTAATCTTGCACAACTTCATAGGCCAGGGGTGTCTGTGAAGGGGTCCTTAGATCTGGCCTGCCAGGCCATCCTGGACACTTATATATTGCCCCATAATGCTTTACAGCCATCTCAGTTTACAGTGTCAGCTTCTGCCAACAAAAACGGAGCTCGGGAGGGCTCCGTTTTCGTTGGCAAGAAGTTGCAGGAGGCTGTTGAAGCTGAAAACGGGGCTGGGGAATCTTTACGCTGGAAGAGCACTCAGGCCACCACAGGTGTCCCAACACAAGGGACATTGAGCTGCCCCCCCCCCAGGTCAAACGCAACCCTGATGCGGCCCTCAAGGAAATCAAGTTTGACACCCCTGTCATGGGCAGTCTTAGAAAATCAGGCCTCCTCTCGCTGTTCTGCTTTTGGAGAAGGCGGTTTGGCAGCCCAGCTGGGAGGGAGGGGTGGGGGGACTAGGCAGCTACATTCAGACAAGAGAGAAAACTTTGTGGAGCACTGCTTATGTGGTTGGCGTGCACGCTGGCCCAGTTGCAAATAGCCACGGCCCACAGGTTGGGGGGACACACACCCCGCCCTAGGGGCATGTAAAAATGGTAAAGGAATCCTTGTGGATTTTACTCCTAGTCATTGTTGACTTTATGGGACGGTGCTCATCTCTGTTTCAAGACCCATCAAGCCGGTGCTTTCTGAAGATACTTCTGTGGTCATGTGGCCAGGATGATGTTACAGAGCACTGTTACCCTCCCATCAGTGGTACCTATTTATTTGCATGTTTTCAGGTTGCTAGGTTGGCAGGAGCTGGGGCGAGGACGGGAGCTCACTCCATCATGTGGTGTTTCGGTCTCAAACTTGGGCTGCCGGCTTTCCAGCTGACAAGCCCACCTTCTTAACTGCTGAGCCGTCGAGCTGTCCCTCTCAGTGGCAGGACTGGAGCAGTAATTTTCCAACTTGGAAGGGTAATGATTGAAGCTGGTACGGAAGTGGCAAATCTCGTGCCAAAAAAATGTTTTGTAAACAAGACGCCGTTGACTTGGAAAACCAAGCATGGCCATTGAGCCGAAGGCAGAAAGTCCTGAATGATGATGACGTAGATTTGGAACTAACACATAAAAGGTTGGATCTTGGGTGTTTTCATGTGAAGAACCTCTTCTGAACATGGCTTCCAAATTCTGTTTGATAAATCTACATAGCTAATCTTGAGTCTGCTTGGAGAACATAAGAACGGCCATGTGTAGTGAGAAGAAGAGCAATGCAATCTGGGTCAACCCCTTTTTAGTAGAAGTTGGGTCAAAGAGAAACCCTGGAGTGCAACATCTAAGCTGGTTTCCTTACAATGAGTAGTAACTTTATAATGAAGTTACGTTGGAGAGACTGCCAGTTTCACACAGGCCTTTAGATAGGACCAAACACCATCTTGCCATCAACAACATAATACCTAAGGCCAATTGGAATAGCAATACTCTTGGTGACATGTTGACTGGCTTGCATTAAGCCCAGCTTCCTCTCTGATCAACAGATTGTCCTACATTAAAACCGGCCAACTTCCTGTGCCCAAAATCTTTGGAACAGAATAATATAGTTGTAAGGAACCAGTTTTTCTTAAAAACTGATTTCAAGCGTTACCATGAAGCAGAATAACACAGTTGGGGAGGACCTTTGAGCTCTTCTAGTCCAACCCCTGCTCACGCAGGAGACCCTACACCTTTCCACAGAAGTGGTTATCCAGTTGCTTCTTGAAAACCTCCAATGATGGAGCACCCACCATTTCTGAAGGCAAGCCGTTCCACTGGTTTATTGTTCTCACTGTTGGGAAGTTTCTCCTTCATTCCAGATTGGATGTCTCTTAAATGATTTTCCAACTGTTGCTTCTTGTCCAGAAGTAATTTCAGCCAAAGCATTTCAGCTGTTTGTCCAGAATGGTACAGTATATGGTGTGATATATTCAGAATCTGTCTCAGGGGAGTTGCAAAGCAACAGTCTAAATTCTGTAAGACAATGGGTAAGAGCAGAGGTCTCCAAACTTGGCAACTTTAAGACTTGTGGACTTCAACTTCCAGAATTCTCTGAGAATTCTGGGAATTGAAGTCCACAAGTCTTAACATTGCCAAGTTTGGGGACCCCGGGTTAGAGCAAGCAGGAAGAGTGGGTAGAAGTAATGTCCTTGAAAACTTTCCATACAGTTTCTGGCTATTTTGTTTGTGAACCTATCACTGGCACCTCAATCAGAAGACATATAAACAATATCCCAACAATGCATCATGATTCCATTGCAAAAATTATCTCCGTTAAAAATGCCCAGTGGACAATCTGCTGCTTATACTAAAGAAAGAAAACGGGTCAATTTTGTCTCTCTTTATCAATTGGCATTATAATTCAAATAATGGATTATGGCTGGTTTGGGAATTCTGGGAGTTGAAGTCCACGTGTTTTCCTGTGGACAACAGTTGGAAACTGTTGAAAATTCCTTGCCTCTAATGCTTGGGGATTTATAGAGAGTGATCAATGTGAGTAAATAAAAATAACTATTCCCACTGTTCAGAAATCCAAGCCTGTTGGAAATCTAAAGAGACCCCAAATCTATCATTTTCCAACAGCCAGAAAAAGTGTTTGAAGCTCTTATGGAGATAGAAAATGCAATGAAAAAAAATTATCTGGATTTCACACAAAGGCAGATGGGAATCATAGCTAAATAAGACTCAACCCAAATCCCTAGCATGGTTGTTTGTTTATTTTTTTTAGGTGAGCTATAAAATATCAGAAGGCAGCAGAATTATTTCTCTCGCCCGCTTGGGCTAGTTTCTAAGAATTCTCTGGAGCAGGAGGTCTCCAAACTTGGTCACTTTAAGACTTGTGGACTTCAGTTCCAAGAATCCCCCAGTCAGCTATGACATTGAATTATATTGCCAATCGATAGAAGAGAGACAAAATTGACCCAGTAGATTTTTTTGTCCTTTAGTATAAGGAGCAGATTGAGCCTCTTTTTGCATTTTAGCACAAACATAAGATCAGATGCAAACTACACCATTGTCACGAAGGGCATCATTTGTGTGATGTCATAGCAATGTATATGGCATCATTTGCCCCTTTGAACAGCCAATTTTTTTATCTCTATAAATCCCATTATCCCTGAGCTAGGTTAAGCTAGTCTCAGCATCAACATGTTCTTGGCTAAACCAAGGCTTAATATTTAAATTTAGAATTCCTAACTAACGCTTTGACAACTGGTATGTCCTGAATCATCTATTATTTTTCTTTCCTTCCTGCTCTTTCTCTCGTTTTCCCTCTACAGAATTATGAGGAAGCAGCTGTTCTAAAAACATGTGGTCCGTTTGTTGATGATACTGCATCTATTTGGGGTTTGCAAGCTGCTAAAAATATTTTTACATCCATTTACGGGTCTGAATACTTTTCTATTCACCAGCCACAAGGTGGCAGGCCCAGCCATCAAAACAATATTTTGCTTGTCTTCTCCCAAGACACAATTCTCATTTGTTCCCCTTTCTGGTTCAGCTTCTGCATCTGAAAAGCCACGGTCTATACATGAGTTTGAAAATGTTTTAAAATAGAGAAGAAAGAAACTAGTTCCTTGTCTCTTTCTCCTACGAATACCGTTTTATAAAACCTTAGTTAAGACCACACTTGGAATACTGCATCCAGTTTTGTTTTACTTTACTTTACTTTACTTTACTACTTTACTTTACTTTACTTTTTTACTTTACTTTACTTTACTTTACTTTACTTTACTTTACTTTACTTTACTTTACTTCACTTCACTTCACTTCACTTCACTTCACTTCACTTCACTTCACCACTTCACTTCACTTCACTTCACTTCACTTTACTACTTCACTTTACTTCTTTACTTTACTTCACTTCACTTCACTTCACTTTACTTCTTTACTTTACTTCACTTCACTTCACTTCACTTTACTTTACTTTACTTTACTTTACTTTACTTTACTTTACTTCACTTCACTTCACTTCACTTTACTTTACTTTACTTCTTTACTTTACTTTACTTTACTTTACTTTTTTACTTTACTTTACTTTACTTTACTTTACTTTACTTTACTTT